GATCTATTTTTCGATTCGAACGATTTGAGGTATAATCGCTTAATCCCGACTTTAATGGCTTAGACTTGATGGTTAAATGATATAAGAGATATTGAAATGATGATTTGAGCGTATTTGGTTAAATCGGGACATTTGAGCTTGAAATGAATTTATTGGGATTTTTCAATAAATGTGATAAAATGTCGTAATAAATATCATTAAATTCGTTGCGTTGTCTTGAGGCTTAGGTGCGAATTTGAGAATTTTCGGACTTAGTTTGATAGGCAAACGAGTTGGTCGAATGTGTTGACCGGTCGTAGTAATTTTGAGCTGATTGGGTTAGGAGTTGACTTTAGACTTAATACTTTGACCATGGACTGTATGTTTAAGATGCTATGTTTCGAATTTCGTGAATTTTGGATGCCGTTTGATCTAAATTAAAAACCGGGACTTTAGCCGTTGATGCGATAAATATAGAATATTAGTTCGGTTGCGATTTTAGCTGCAGTTGTGGATTATAAATCATATAGAAATTATATTTTTAATATCGGCCATAAATGAGTTAGGATTTTCGAGAATCAAAACCCTAGTTTTATACGGTTCCGCTAACTGGGTATTTTTCAGATCCGAATATAATTGACGGAACCCTACTATCGTTTAAATAATTTTTAGACGCCGTAACAATAATTCTTAACGCGTATCGTCGTCTCGCGCACGTAATCGACCCTCGCCCGACTGTTGGAGCCGAACCGCCGAGTGCGTGCCCGTCCACCGAGTTCATCCGTCTACAAGTCGTATCCCTTAGCCGTAGTCCAAGCACGCCTCTGCGTCAGTGACCGTGGCACCGTTTCAAACCCGTGCATTGGCTAAGCCGTGTCAATCGAGTTCGTGCCGGCATAGTTTTAAATGGCGAGGCATCGGCAACACAAGCCGTCGAAGCTTATATACACACACACACACATTTAAGTTCAAGTACCAACGATAATCTTGGATTTCCTAAAAAAGAGAATATAAATTAAATTTAGTTGTAATTACTAAAAGCATCTAAAATTTAAATGTGAAT